ATCATCCTGTGTGGGCATACTGTAATTTGAGCAGAAGTGATAAGAAAGCTTTGGAAGATTCTATAATGTGCCATGAGTAGGGTGAACATCAGAAGGCCGGGTAGATTTGCACATTTAGGCCATGTGTAGACAAAACAAGAGGCATGTGTGCATGACACTTCAAAGTGGGCTAAATGCTTTTGCACCACTTAAATGGTGTCGGTGTTTGCATACCTCGTCAGCATATTCTGCCGGCATATTCCAGCTGCTGTAGGAAATTCGGCAGCATAGTGCACCTTAAATGACTTGGGGTGCAGCAAACTAAAACTCCTTTGAGGAGTTTTATTTGCTGCCCCTATAGCCCTGGAGCAAAGCAACAGGCTCTGTGCAGCTCCATGGCTCTGCAGGAAGCCCTGCAGGCAGCCTGACAGCAACACGGGAAAGCAACTCCACCCAAGAAAAGCAGGGAGCCTGATCTTTTTTTTTTTCCCTTGGAGCCTGCCTGCCTGCCTGCCTGAGCTGCACCGGGGCCCAGTGCTTCCCTCCACAGCTGCAGTACCCCCCTTGAGTCAAGTGCCTGCAGCCAGGTGCCACCTGGGGGGGCCCACAGCTGCTGTAGAGGGAAGAATCAGCCCCCCTGCAGCCCAGGGACTGCTCCACCCACCAGTAGCTCACCCTTCCCTCCCCACCAGAGAGGCAGGTAAGTCATCAGGGTGTATGCATAACATGAGGGTTTAATCGGCCCTAAATTGAAGCCGTATTTTTTAAAACCCACTGCTTCAATTTAGGGCCCCCATTTCATCTACACACACCCTTATAGAATAACTAAATCAGAGATGTAGAATGAACTGGCCACAAGAGGGTAAAAGAAAGTCAGGGATGTGAAGGGAGCTGCTGTCTCTCATTGCAACTCAGGTAATGGTAGCTGTGGTGGTCCAGGGAATATTCAAGAAGCACGGTTGTTTTTTAGGGTTACCATATTTTCAGCATCTCAAAAGCATAGAGAGAGGAAGAGAGGACTCCTGGGAAGGGATGGCATCCACCTCACATGGAGAGGTAAGTCTCTGTTCTCTTCCAGCATGGCCGATCTTCTAGATAGGGCTTTAAACTAAGATTGCTAGGGGACTGGGAAACACTGACTGGAACATGCCTAGGGACTGACATACAAGAAAGCTCCATAGATAGGGACACTAGGAGAGCCACTCTTGCAGAAACTGAGGGAATAGTTCTCCTTCAGTGTGACAGGAAGACAAGGGTCTCAGCAGGAGGACTCAGGTGCCTGTACACTAATGCCAGGAGTATGGGAAACAAGTAGGAGGAGCTAGCCCTGCTCTCCAGTGGGCATTACAATCTAGTAGGGATTATGGAGACCTGGTGGGACTCCTCACATGATTGGGGCATAGCCATAGAGGGCTACACCCTGCACAGAAGGGACTGAGTAGGAAAGAAAGGTGGAGGTGTAGCTCTCTATGTGAAGGAGCAGTACACCTCCTTGGAGGCCAACATCAGCTCCAAAAAAGAATGGCTTGAAACCCTCTAGGTCAAACTGCAGGGTGGGGGGAGAGGGGGGCACAGCAAGAGATACCTAACTGTAGGTGTATGCTACAGACTACCAAACCAGGGGGAGGAACTCGATCTAGAGTTCACCCAACTCACCCACCGCACTTCAAGAGGGATGTGGATAGCCTGGAGAGGGTCCAGAGAAGGGCCACTCATATGGTTAAGGGCTTGCAAGCCAAGCCCTATGAGGAGAGACTAGGGCACCTGGACCT